ACTAGGGCCAGGGTTAGGGGGCTGTGCTGGGGTCTGGGGATCAACAGCCGTCCTGGTCTGCTCGGCCTCACTGCCCAGCACCCCGCTGCGGGACAGGCATGGGCCCCCGGAGCTCCCCTCGGTGGTTCTGGGAAGGCCTTGCCTCTGGATTGCGGGCACAGGTGTGGCTGCTCTCCCTTCTCCCACCTGGCCGGCCGGGCACTGAGCCCGACAGCTGTCCCCCGGCGCCTTTAGTTAGACGGGGTGAGCGAGCCTCCCTCGTCTGCCCAATCTCCAGACACCTGGAGCGTTTCAGTCCGTGACGGTCACTCCTCGGGACCGCAGGACGCCTGTCTGCCGATGCCCATCTGGACGCACCGAGGCCTGGGACCCGGGGAAGCTTCCCTGGGTCACACGGTGGCGTCACGAGGCCGCTGACTCAGCCCCCAGGGCTCCTCGCTGCAGCCCCGCCTCGTGGTCTGTTTCCCTTCATCCCGGCCACGAGGCCTCGGCCAGCAGCTGCTTTGTAACCGAAACACATGGCGCGGGCAGGGCCGACCTGGTCCCTGATTCTCTCCAGCTCCCCACGGCCCTTAAAAGCCGAGGTGCTGCGTAGCCCTGCAGGGCCTGGGAAGGTGTGAGTCACCATCAGGGAGCAGCAGACAGCCCAGCCCATTGCTCTGCGGCTCGGCCCTGGTCCGCCACCCGGGCCCACTCAGGAGTTGACTCACAACAGCTTGCAGTCAGCTCTGACACTCAGATCATTTTCTGCTCATCTTGTGCCCAGCTGGTGGCCTTTAATTAGGTGCTGTCAACTTCCTGCCTCTGTCCCCCTCTTTTTAACAGATTATATTAATATTAAAGATATAATAACGATGATAGCAGCATATATCGTGTCCTAAGTGCTTTGATTGAATTAAAAAAATTTTTTTCCTCAAAAGTTACTGTCTGAGATAAGGAATCGTCTTACTTCTATTGTATAGACAGGAAAATTAAGGCTTGGAAAAGTCAAGTCTCTGGCAGGGTGAGCGACCCAGGAGGGTTTGGTAGAGCTGTATGACCTTGAGTGTATGGACCCTAGCGTCTGACTCCAAAGCACCAAGTCAGCTGGGCCCATTAGGGTAGGATCAGAGGCTCCATCACAGCAGTGTAGACTGCAGTCACTTTTATTGTTTGTTTAAAAGACATCTGGAGTTTGCAAACCACTGGATTTGGATTTGGCACCTCAAGGTTGCCAAAAGGGACAAGGGGTCTTTGCACTTTCCCTTTGTACAACAACAGCGAGTCGGCAACTCATGTTCAGCCGGTCTTCACGTCACGTCACAGCTGCCACAGCTCACTCATCACCTCTTCACACAGCAAGGCCCAAAGAAGCAGGAAAAGAGGCAGGCGGGTCTCTCCTCATCTACCTCCTTTTCATCAGAAAGGAAACTCTTTCCCGGAATCCCCCAGCAGAGTTTACCTTCGGCCAGAACTGGGGCATGTGACCACCCGGGACCAGTCATAGGGCCAGGAGCATAGGATGGCCAAGGTTGGCTTAAATCAAATGCAGTTCACTCCCTGGGGCTGGGCCCACAGCCAGCTGCAGAAAGTCAGGGTTCTGTCAGCTGGAAGGAAGGGAGGACTGGTGGTTGGCAATGCAATCCTGGCGTCTGACAGCCCAGCCCTTGAAAACGTTCCACACAGCATCGTGGTTGGTTGGCAGGATTATTGTAGGTGGCAGGTGAGGAAAGTTGTATGTTTTAAAAATAATTTTAGTCCCAAGTATTTGGGTGCACTTGGAAAGAGAAATATACAAAGAACTCATCAACCAGAACCATAAATTCATGGATATTATTTCTCAGGATGGAACAACTTAAGTTTTTTAAAAAAATACAAGTAAAAGAAAAATATTAAGTCAATCACAGTTCCTTTGCTTCTAGATTTGGCAATGGTAAGAGGGTAGGAAACCCTGTTCTGTATTATTCTGCTTGGCATTTTTTCCAGCTTCTTAGGCATTCTGCCTTCTACCTCCCTTCTGAGGAAAATAAACACCCACAAGGAGTTTTGCATCATCTGCAAATAGGACTTGAATAAAGCCTCCGGCTCAAATATAAGCCAGGCCTGCATGGCTGGGATGGCCCAGCATCTCGACCCTGGCCCTTTCCTGGTATTTCACCTCTGGCCTAGTGGCCAGAGGGTTTGATTGGTTGCACCCTCCTTCTGTAAGCTGTTGCAAATTCTGGGTCTGGAAAGAAAAAAAAAAAGTCAAGACATAAATACTAATTATACTGATCACTTGAGGTTTCGTGTCAGGAGTTTTCAGACTTTCCTAAAGCATGAAAGCTTGTCATTTAAATGAGAATGTAGGTGCCCATGGTAAGAACTACATCAGTGCTGGTCCAGCGACAGTGACGCAGGCTAGAGACTTGGAGCAAAACAGGAACCAGCTCACACAATCTGCATCCTGGCCCCAAAGTGGCTGCAGAGAGCCAACCATAAACAGCACACAGGAGGCCGCGTGTCCCCTTGGAACCACTCACATAATTTTCAAGTATTACTCTTCCTTTGGTTGTCTTTTTTTTTGACCATTTAAAAATGTTTTAAAAAATGTAAAAAAATTCTTGGATTGCAGGCTGTACAAAAACCAGCAGTGGGACAATTGTAGCCTGAGGCCTTGTAGTTCACAATCTCTCTATAAGCCAGGGATGCAAAAAGAAATTATAGAGAAGCATTGAAATCATAGAGAGAGCCCCAAATGCACCTGTAATCCCAGCTACTCTGGAGGCTGAGGCAGGAGGATTGCAAGTTCAAGGCCAGCCTGGGCAAGTTAGCAAGACTTTGTCTCAAAATAAACATTTAATAAAGGGCTGGGGATGCAGCTCAGCGGCAGCCACCTGCCTATGTATGTGCTGCGTACAGACAAATGAAGAAATGTGCACTCCTTAAAAACATCACACAAGAAACCAGCAACAGCAAGTACTGTGAAGCAGAAAATTGGCAAACATGGAAGTATGAAGACATTTTCCACCCGACGCTTTCGTACTGTTTGAATTTTTCCTCCGTGTACTGTGCTGCTTGCATGAAGCCAAAAGCGTTTGTCAAGGCAGACAGGGTTTCTGTGCCGCCGTCATAAAGACGAGGGGATCCCAGGAAACACATAGGGTCGGTCCCAGCGCAGGGCCAGAGGGTTAGGGTCGGGCAGGGCGTGGCCCCGCTGGCAGCAGAGTGACACCAAGAGCCACCCCGACTGTCAGCGATGAGCACGCGCTGGGGGCCGGTCGGCGGGAGCGGAGGGGAGCCTGACTCGCCGCTTCCGCCGGTGCTGCTCTGATCTGGGGCCTGGAAAAGCCAACGTTCTGCCGATATTTACCTTCGATCTCCGCTCCAGAGTGAAGGAAAGATGCCCAGGCCGGGCCCAAGACCGAGGGTGGGTGGCATTGAAAAAGCAACTTGCCCTGAAAGGAAGGCTTCCTCTGACTGCTGAGCGCGCTGTCAGGCGGCCCCGCCCCGGTACGCAGC